AGCTGGAGAGGGCTTATGTCAAGAATGACAAAGCCGAATTATGTCTAAGAATGACCAAAGCCGAAGTGGGAACACTTTTAACGGAAAAATTAACCTCATGAAGTGCTGGCAATGGTGGTGTTCGGGGAAGCATATTTCTTAGCATGTCTTCATATTACAAAGAGGACTTGAAGGCGCTGGGTATGGGCTTTACCAGATGAACCTTTTAGGTCCATTTGGTTATTGAATTCTCTCCTTCTCAGTAGTGGACAAAATTAGGACTTCCTATAATTGTCAGCCGAATAAAATGGGGACTCTTAAAATGGACTCTTAACGAGCTCATTTCTCATTGTGTTGATGAGGAGGAAAAGATGAATTCTAACAAAAGAGAGAGTGCTCATTTTGTTTCTTCAGCTGAGAAGGGCAAGAACAAGAAAAGAAAGAGGCCTTCTGCAAAGACTGTTGAAAAGGCTATTGAGAAACCTGCTGTTGCTACTGCTGTAGATCCAGTACAAAAGAAGCCTTATGTGCCAAAATGCTTCTTTTGTGGAAAGACGGATCACTTGAGAAAGGACTGTCCTAAATTTGCTAATTGGCCTAAAAACACTTATTGGATGGATTTTGGTGCTACCGCTCATATAAGTGTTTCATTGCAGGGCTGCCTCAACTATAGAAAGCCAACTGACGGTGAAAGATACGTCTATGTGGGAAATGGCGATCCGGTTGAAGTAGAGGAAGTACTGGCTATTTTTTGGATCTTATAGATACTTTTGTTATTCCCTCTTTTAGAAGGAATTTGATTTCTGTTTCCTGTTTGGACAAATCTGGTTTTCATTGTTCTTTTGGAGACAGTGTATTCACTTTATCTATGAATTCAAAAGTTTTGAGTACTGGTTGCTTGAATGAATGTGATAATCTATATATGTTAGACATTGATACTAGTTATCATGAATCCCTACATGTTACTACAAGAGGTACCAAAAGAAAGAAGGAAAGTTGAATATTGATTAAAATCAGCCTGTACTTTTGCATAGACGTTTGGGTCATTTATCCCAAATCGAGAATCTTTTGAGCGTCTTGTTTCTGATGGTGATTCTTAAGAGACACTGATTACACAGGTTTGGGATCTTCTTGTAGTGAGTTGATTAAAGGAAAAACAGGGACTAAACAAAGAGATTAGGTGCCATTCGGTCATCCAATGTTTTAGAACTGATTCATACAGATTTTATTTGCGGTCCATTCCCATATTGCAACTAGAAATGGCCGCAGCTAGAAATGGCCAAAGATATTTTATATCATTCATTGATGACTATTCTCTTTATGGTTACTTATATCTCATTCATGAAAAATCTGAGTCTTTGGACGTGTTTAAATCTTATAAAGCTGAAGTTGAAAATCAACTGGGAGAGAAGATTAAATCTGTTCGATCTGACCGTGGTGGTGAATATTATGGTAAATATGACGGTTCAGGCGAACAACGTCCAGGACCTTTTCGCTTTTCCTACAGGAATGTGGAATTGTCCCTCAATATACAATGCCTGGTACTCCCAGCATGAATGGTGTATCTGAGAGACGTAATAGGACTCTTATGGGATATCGGTAAGCGAGTATGATTAGTCATTCTACTTTTACCAGAGCTCTGTGGGGTGAAGCGTTAAGACAGCAGGCTTATCTTCTCATAGGATTCATCTAAAGCAGTGCTAAAAACACCTTATGAACTTTGGACTGGACTGTAAAGCCTAGTCTTAAAGCATCTTCATGCTTGGGATGGGTCCAGCTGAAGCAAGCCTATACAAGCCGAATGAAACAAAACTGACTCCAAAACTATCATCAGGCTACCTTTGTTGGATATTCTGAGGCGGGTCTAGGGGGTTACAAGTTTATAATTCCTATTTATAATCCTACTTCCAGAACTTTTTTTTGAAACGAGAATTGCAACATTTTTTGAGGATGTTGATTTTGGAGGGAGAAATAAAGAAAGAAACATTGTCTTTAAAGAGGAACCAAGTAAGGATGATTCGGTTCTCATTCCTTTTGTTGTTTCTGATAGCGTACAGACTCCAGTTGCTCCTGTCACTATTCAAGATCCAATTCCAGACAATGCTATTCTTCCTTAAGAACAAATTCAACAACCTCAAGAATTAGAGTCTGTTCAAATGCCTTTGAGGAGATCTACTAGGGAGAGAAGAAGTGATCTACCTAGGCGACGAGAAAAGAAGTGGCTATTCCAGATTGAATTATATTAGTGTTTCTTCCGCATGGAAACACTGGGATTACTGTAGACCCTGAATAGATGATGATCCAGTTAGTTCTCTATCATGCCATTGCAGGAGTTTCTGACTCTCATAATGCGATTTTGAGGCAATTGAACGCAAGGAGTATAAGTCTACTGCAAGACCAATCAAGTTCTGGGATCTTGTTCAATTTACCTGAAGGAAGAGAATTGGGATCTTGTTCAATTACCTGAAGGAAAGAAACCCATTGGTTGCAAATGGATATTTAAAACCAAAAGGGATTCTCAAGGTAATGTGGAAAGATATAACGCACGTCTTGTAGCAAAAGGCTTTACTCAAAAGGAAGGGACTGACTATAAAGAAACCTTCTCTCCAGTTTCTTCGAAGGATTCTTTTAGGACAATCATGGACTTAGTTGCAAATCTTGATCTTGAGCTTCATCAAATAGATGTTAAGACTACGTTTCTCAATGGCAACATTGATGAAACAATATATATGGTGCAACCAGAAAATTTTGTAATTGGAGATCCAAAACATCTGGTATGCAAATTAAAGAAATCCATTTATGGACTCAAGCGAGCTTCTCGTCAATGGTACTTTAAGTTCAACTAAGTAATTGTCTCGTTTGGCTTTGAGGCAAATGTTTGAAAATTGTGTGTACCCATAAGTTCAGTTGGGAGTAGGTTTATCTTTTTTGGTCTTACTATGTGTGAATGACAATACTTCTTGCCTACTATTGTTAAAGTCTTGCTACATGAAACCAAGTTTTTCTTTCAAAGCATTTTTGAGATGAAAGATTTAGGTTGAAGCTTTCTTTTGTTTTTTTAGGGATTCAGATACATCGAAGACCGTTCTGAGGTATTCTGGATTATCACAAAAGAGCTATATTTGATAAAGTCTCAAGAGATTTTAGTATGAGAATTCCCTAGAGACCATTGGATACCCCTATTGCAAAAGGTGATAAATTTAGTAATCAACAATGTCCAAAGAGTGAACTTGAAATTTAGGAAATGCAAAAGGTTCCTTATACGTCAGCTATAGGAAGTCTTATGTATGTTAAAGTTTGTACTCGTCCAGACATTTCTTTTATAGTTGGCATGTTAGGTAGATATCTCAGCAATCTAGGAATGGATCATTGGAAAGCAGCCAAAAGAGCCATGAGATATCTTCAGAGGACTAAGGGACATATGCTCACATATAGGAGATCAGATCAGCTTGAGATCATTGGGTATACTGATTCTGATTTCGCTGGATATACTGATTCTGATTTTTCGCTGGATGCCAACTGATAGTAGAAAAAATCCACATTCTGGCTACGTTTTTTTTCTATTGGCTGGCGTGGTGAAAACTATTCTTGGAAGACGTGTGATTGAAAACAAACTCTTAGTGGCAACCTCCACGCTATGGAAGGCATGAATTCTGTAGCATTCTTATGATGCAATCCAATGCAAGCTATTTGGCTGAGAAAACCTTGTCAACTGCGGCTGCGCTGTAGTCTGTAGTAGGTGGTAATAGAAAGACCACTGAAGTCTGTATTGTGACAGCAGCGGTCAGCCGTTTTATTCTTCCAACGAACAACAGGAGCTTTCTCGCATCAAAACACATTGAGATTAAGTTCTTGAGCTGTGAAGGACGAGGGTACAAGATGGACAGATATCTTAGAGCATATTGCGAACAAACTCCTATGATCTGCAGATCCGCTTACAAAAGGCCAGTGATACCAAAAGTTTTCCATGAGCACCAACCGCTTCATTATGGGTATCGTTTTGTTTGAGACTGTCTAGTTTTAGTGGAGTTTGCTCTTTTATGTGTTTGCATTAATGTTTTTGAATGTTTATGTTTTTGAATGCTCTATTTTGTTTTGGATATGTTTTATTATGTTGATGAAATTTTATTGAGTACTCATTTTGGTTGATGGTTACACTCTGTATTATTATTGTTTTGCTTGATCTCACTTTTGTTGGTGACCAGTTGGAAACAAACATGATGATCACATTACATTTAGTTTTCATCCTACACTTCTATAATGAATCTGTGTCATTTAGGGGTATTGGTAAGGTAGTTGATGATGAACTTAGTCATAAGATCTATGGCGAATGTTTCTTCAGCTCTTTATCAATATAATTAATGGACGAGATTGTTTTTGGATACCTCGTATGACTGCGTTTGTTGAGCTCATTTTGGTGTATGTATTTTATTTAACATCATTATTGTTTGCCCAAGTGGGAGTTATTTTTGGATTTAATTTTCTATTTGTGGGCTTAATATGTAAAATTAATATGTACAGCAGTCCAATTGTAAAGTCAAATTTTTAAATTGTGGTCTTGATTGTGAATAATTGACTATTGAGGTTATCAACTAATTTATAGATATTAAGTGTAAGAGACCATTATATAATTCCTATTACGTTTTAAAGGGACCGAAATAGGGAATTTGTACTAAACCCTACAGGTATATAAAGGTCGTGGTCCCCAGAGGGAGTTGAATACGATTTTTCAGTTTTACGTTCCTTTACGGTATTGGCTTCCGCTAAATGGATTCTTCAATTTCTTCTGGGAAGGCTGCAAAACCTAATTCTACACATCAAGATCGACAAACAACGATGTCAGGTACGCAAACCTAACAACGATGTCAGGTACGCAACCTTTTTCTTATTCAATCTATTTTGTTGAATCTAGTGATTTGCACGATCTAGGTTATTGTGGAATTATTTGAGATTAAATTCTTAACAATGTGTACGGTGTACTGACCTGTACCTTTGCTGTTTTACTTTACAGTAACACGAGCTTTTCCCACCAAATGGCTTTTCCACAACTCATTTTCAGCTTCTCATTCATTACTATTCTGATGGGAACGATAACCTCACTGCTAATTTACTCGATAAAATCCCATAAACCACCATCTAAAGATGAAAAATCCATATTGCGACAACAATTACCTCCTGGTCCAAAACCATGGCCTATTATCGGTTGCCTACTTGCAAAGTACAGAAACGAACCTGCTTTTAGATGGATACACAATCTCATGAAACAAATGAACACTGAAATTGCATGTATCCGTCTTGGGAACGTTCATGTAATACCGGTCACTTGCCCGCTGTGAAATCTTGAAAGCTCAAGATGCTAATTTTGCAACCCGACCCATAAGCATGTCTACCCGTTTTACTTCAAAAGGCTACTTAACAACAATTCTTGCACCTTTTGGAGACCAATGGAAGAAGATGAGGACAGTTTTAGTAACTGAAATGCTTTCAGCAGCGAAACAGCGGCGGTTTTACGGAGCAAGAGTAGAAGAAGCCAATCACCTCGTCCGTTATGTGTATAATCAGTGTAACGAAGGCGGTTTAGTGGATGTGAGAGTTGCTGCCCAACACTATTGTGGAAATGTAACGAGGAAAATGATGTTTAATAAGAGATTTTTTGGAAAGGGAAAGAAGAATGGTGGACCTGGTTTTGAAGGAAAATGATGTTTAATAAGAGATTTTTTGGAAAGGGAAAGAAGAATGGTGGACCTGGTTTTGAAGAAGAAGAGCATATTGATGCTATTTTTAGAGTTCTTCATTATTTATATGCATTTTGTTTGTCTGATTATTTACCATGCTTGGTGGGTTTTGATTTGGATGGTCACGAGAAGATTATTAAAGAGGCTAATGGGATCATAGGAAAATATCATGATCCTATAATTGAAGACAGAGTTCAACAATGGAAGGATGGAACTAAGAAGGAAGAAGAGGACTTTCTTGATGTTCTAATTACTTTAAAAGATGATAACGGCAATCCTTTGCTATCGACAGATGAGATTAAAGCTCAAATTACGGTAATTGTCGCTCTTCTCTTATTAATTTTCTTTTCTTCTTTTCTATCAACCCCAAAGATTGGTTTAGTTAATTAGAAAGGCATGTGATGATGTTTGCAGGAAATAATGTTAGCAACAGTGGATAACCCATCAAATGCGGTTGAACGGGCAACTGCGGAGATGATAAACCAACCGAAGATACTTGAAAAGGCAGTAGAAGACTTGGATAGAGTTGTCGGAAAGGAGAGACTAGTCCAAGAATCCGATCTTTCACAGCTTAGTTACATCACTGCATGCGCAAGAGAAGCCTTTCGCCTCCATCCCGTCGTGCCATTCAATGTTCCTCATGTCTCCATGACTGATACAACAGTAGCAAACTACTTTATTCCAAAAGGCAGTCATGTTCTACTAAGCAGAGTGGGTCTTGGCCGGAACTCTAAGATTTGGGATGAGCCGCACAAGTTCAAACCAGAACGCCATATCAAGAACGATGGGTCTCAAGTGAAACTTGTTGAGCCATATTTGAATTTCATTTCATTTAGCACAGGAAGACGGGGGTGTCCAGGAGTGACAATGGGGACTTCGATGACTTTGATGCTGTTTGCTAGACTTCTTCATGGATTTACTTGGAACGTGCCTCCTAATCAAACAAGTATCGATCTCAAAGAGTCCGAGAGTAGTTTAACACTCGCTAAGCCATTGGTTGCACTTGTGAAGCCGCGCTTGCCTGCGTACGTATATGACCAAATCATGCATGATCAATAAGAAAGGAGATGTATGGAATTGAGGCTTTAAACTTCTATTTCATAATATCCTATTTCAAATGACATGCGTTGAATGTTGACTTAGTAGCTATGGTGAAGGCCGTTGGAAGATTAGATAATTATTTGTTATTCTGTTGCTATTTTTAAGGAATAATTTAATATGCTTATCATATCAGATATGCATAATAAGTTTGCGAAGATTAGATAATTATTTGTTATTCTGTTGCTATTTTTAAGGAATAATTTAATATGCTTATCATATCAGATATGCATAATAAGTTTGCTTATTTTTCTGAAGTTTTCTGTTTTTAGAGTCTATAAATACTTATGTAATAGTGTTTCAATAAAATTAAGCCTTCACATGTTTATAAATTTTATTGTTAAACATCTTTTTTTAAATTAATCTTAGTTTCTAAGACACATATCTAACATTGTGGTATCAAAGCCAATATCTTGTAGGAACTGTGAAATTGAGTGAACCAAAATCAAACCCAAACACCAACCCGTGAGATGGAGGGAGAGTCTAGTTATGGTTCAATTACTCCTCCAATATTTGATGGAGTTAAATACAAATTCTGGGCTATCAGGATGGAAACTCATTGATAGCACTAATTCATTGGAGACTAAATGGTTGGAATAATATTATTAGCTACTTAGTAAGGAAGACCCTTCTCTTTATTATTCTCTTCGTTCTAAAAATATAATTTATATTTTCTTTTTAACTTGAAATATAGTCCAATTTCCTTTTTTGCATTATAACTGATTCTTAAATTGTCTATTATATTCTTATTAAATTTTATCTTACTTTAAAAAACTCTCATTAATTTTTACTTATTGTTCTAATACAATAATTGCTCATGTGTTATTTAAGATTGGAATAATAAGAAATTTATATGAATAAAATTGTTCTTTAACCATAATAACTGTTATTTCTTAATGTATATGAAAATAGAAAGTGGACTATCTTTTTGGGACGGAGGGAGTACTTCGTTTGGGACGGAGCGGAGTATTTATTGTTGTTTCTTGGAGAATTCCCTACTCTTTATTGTTATTTTTGTGGTAAATGTGTTGAAAACAGTGGGTGGAAATTGAATGTTTGTTAATGCGTAATTGCCAAATGTATCAAGTTTTGCCTGGCCTATTAAACTCTTCTCATCTTTGGTCAAAATGCGTTTGCGATAGGTGGTTGACGTGTTTAGGTGTCATTGATCGTTCGTCTAACTAAGGACTGCAGTCTAGGGAATTATGAAAATAAATGAAGGTCGATCGTCTGCAAAAGAGCTGAATCAGCATTTAATGTAGTTCGAGTTTGTGTGGACTTATCTGTCTTTTTTTGGCGGGAATTCCCTATATTTGCCCAAACCTCTTCTTAATTTGTTGGTCTTCTCTTTTGTTATTGTTATTTTCGTTTTGTGACTTCGGATTGTTGGAGATTGTGGTAAAATGGCCAAAAGTCTAAGTAAATACCTAATTGTGTTTTTTTAATTCTATATCAATGATTAAAAGTCTGAGAACTAATCGCTAATTATATAGAACGTTTATCAGTGATTCTTTCATTTCTGTTCCAGCGGCGCAGTTCGTTTTCGTCTGGGAAATTTTGAAAGTCTCTTTTTTTTTTATCTCATCTTTTTCTATCCGTCGAACTTGGATCAGTTTAAAGTATTTTGACTTAATATTTATTGATAAAACTATATATAGTTAAATTATTTAAATTTGGACTTTAATTCTATCATCTAATTAAATCGCTATATACGGTTAAGTCTACAGTGTTCATTTACATTGGGATCTTTTCGTATTCTTTGTTGAGAATGTTTTGAGTAGCTCTTATTTGGGTGTTGCGCATGCGTTTGTGACGTATACTTTGATAGCAACTGGTCTGGTTGTTGAGAGCGCAAGGGTTGACAATGGGTGACTTCAATGAGGCTTTTTGATGCTGGATGGTCTTTTATGTTTTCGAAGTGCCTTCCTTCAAGGGGTTTATGGTCCTTTGGACCCTGAGTGTCCCCCTAATTCGGATTGCCATAAACTTCTACGGCGATGATAATTTAAGCATCTGGTTGGAACTTGAGCCTTATTTCAAGCTTATAGATAGGATCGTTAATATAATATTATATTGGGCAAATACATTATAACACTAATGGAGGTTATGTGACGAAAGCTAGCTTTTCTAATGGTCCATTTGTGTCAAGTATTATTCGTTAGTGTTATCACTGGACCAACTTTATATTTTTTCAGTTTAATAAAATTAAACAATCTATACATGTGCATTGTTTGTCTGGTGTTGATATGAGTGACAAAAAATTTCGGGTTCTCATAGTTTTTGAACTTCATTATTGCAAATCATTAGTATACGGAATCATTAAATGTGTTTTGTTTTTGTAGTAGTGTTGTTGTGGGTTGTGTCGATTAGTTAGTGTAGTGGATTATAGCGTGAGGTTGTGGGATATGTGGATTATAGTAGTGAGGGTGGTATGTGTTGTGTGGCTGTTGTTGTTCGCGGGAGAAATCGTGCCGGTCGTGGTTTGCCGGTTTGATGGTGCTGTTTCGTAGCGATGTTGTGGTAGTTGTCGTTGCTGATTGTCGTTAATGCGTGCGAGTAGTTAGCGGGCATAAAATTTTAGTATTAATAGGATACATATTATATATTATATTTCTTGTAGGTGTTAGTTGTCAAATGGCTCGTATGGCGTGAGCTTGTGGCGGAGGGGTTGCGCGTGTTAGTTTGGTGGATACGTTTGCGTTTGGTTTTTTTGTGTGGTATATATATATGTTGGAGGGGATGCGCGTGTGGGTGTGTGTTTTGTGTGCGTTGAGAAGTTTGGTTGTGGTCTGCGTATGATGATGTCGAGTTATGGTATGATTTATATCAACAAAGGCATAAAATTTAGTATTAATAGGATACATATTAATATATAAATATTCAGTAAATTGATTGAATAGATTTATAAAATTATGGTTGAGTGTTTGCTAGAGAAGTAATAAAAATAATTGATTAAAAAAAATAATAAAAAGAATGTATAGGCACATTTGAAAGTTTTGGGCTATGGGGCCGGGGAAAGACAATATGCCTAAACTAAAGGTAACTTTGTCAATTTACTGTTATCAAAAGAGTAAAAGCATCTCGTAGCTTAGATAATATCAATTTAGGCTTAATTACCAAAAAAAGCTTCAACTTTTTTGGCCAACACTTTGAATTTTGTCAATCTAAAAGTACTGTCAATTTTGGCATCTATTTAGAGTCCATTTTTGTGTGGTCAAGTGATGCAACTCTAGAAGCGAAGAAACCTATTTGCCGGATTTTAGGATTGTTAACGGTGTGAGTTGCTTGTCGAGAATCCATCAAGAGTCCGTTAATTGTAAAACTGTACCAAACTCTTTCAAGCTTGCAGTGAGATGGGAAGGAGATTATCTTAATAACTCAATCTTTCAATTTAGAAATTCTAAAAGCAAAGATAAAAAGCCAAAAAATGGCCACATGGATGTAAGTTGGTGTTGTGGACCACATAAGCAACGAATTGAAGTACTCTGGACATATGTTATAATTGACAAAGAAAAATAAATCCGAGATAGTAATTGATGACATTAAAAATATTGATTAAATTTATCAAAAATGCCAAAATTGACTTTTTTTTTTTTTTTTTTTTTATGACTTACATTTATAAAAAATGCCAAAAATGTGACTTTTTTTTTTTTTTTTTGTTTGGGTGATTTTCGCTATCAAGCTTGTTAGGTATTTTCGAGAATTTAACCAATGATTAAATCTTGACTCTAAAACCTGGATTAATCCTTATGTGATCGAATAATTGTAAAAAGACAAATCTTTAGTATCACTGTAAACTGAAATTTAATGTTCAGTTTTTTTTTTTTTTTTTTTTTGTGATTTCGCTATCAATTTATATTCAAATCTAACAATGATTAAATTTGAACTCAAAACCTTATAATCCACGAATAATTTTAAAGACAAATTTAGTATCATTAAACTGAAATTTATTTATATACTATTTTCTTTTTATATTCCGGTTAACCTTTGTTGATTTGTAATGGTATGCGACATAATATAATCAAAACTCATTTCAATAATGCCCTAGAAATTGAAACTATAATGAATAGATTCTCTCTTTGACCAAGAAAGAGGCAAGTGAAGTGGATATTGGTGGTGGCTTTGTATCCGCTATAGATATAATTTGTGCTTGGTTGACATACTTCTTTCTATTATTAATTCGTCCCCACCCTCAAAGAAATTCAAATTTTTTTACTATATTTTGCTTAGTCATATTCATACTTCATATGTATATTAGTGCATACTTCTTGGAAACTAAGCATAAACTTAATTAATAAAGCATTACAATTAAGGTTGTTGAAACAGTTTAAAAGTTGTGTCCAAATAAAAAGTGGAATATGGATATAAAGACTTTTTTATAAGTAGCTCGCAACAATTAAAATGTGTAGCCATATTAGAACACATGGCTAGTATACATACTCTTTTTCGTGCTCATATATATAAATTGAGCACATTTTTACGAAAACAGCTCATAAATGTAACAGTTACTTATGCTTTGGAAACGTAAAATCATTAATTGCCCAACTCACCTTTTGTTTGCCACTATGCTCATTAATTGAGCTGAAATAACGACAATAACAAATGTTACTCCTGCAACCATTAACCAATTACTAGATACGGTCACAAAAACTTATGATATTTTCCTTCCGCTTGAAATGAATAAGGTTTTTCTAACTTGAAGACTTGTATATATGTGGAGGTCCTAAAGTGTCAAGGTGGCAATCAAACACACGTCCAAAAACATCTTAATTAGGAATGACAGGTTGCCTAATATGATTGAGGTAGACACTAACATTGTAAAGGACGCAACATTAGCACTAATACATCCTCTTGCAAATATGTTTACCCATTGATGATTAGTATCCATGTTTTAGATTATATGTTCACAATTTCATTGTTAGTGCCCCAGTTTATTCAAGTGGTTGTCATTAATACATGTTCACAGTTAGTTTCACGTTTGTGATTCAGTATTAATATATGTTTAGAGTTCTTTCTCCAAATTTGCGCTTAATTACTTTTATTTGCTCACAGTTTTACGAGTAGTGTACCAATTAATGAATGAGAAGTTTTTAACATAATGAATGACGAATTTTTTAACATGGTGGGATTATCGT